GATTTTGTGGCTATTGATGCTAGATGTGAAGCTCCATGTCTGTATTTATAAAACGTGTGTGTGTTTTGTGTGTATCATGTCACTAGTATCATTGAGGGATTGCTTTGAAAAGAAAAACTCCGATTCACAAAAAGTCCAAAAAATTGAGAAGTAAAGACTTTGAGTATTTTAATCCTCCTATGCCTTGATTCTTTGCCTTTTGCTTTTTTTTGTTTTTTGTTTTTTAGATGTTAGAAATATTTTTATGGAACCTATTCCTATTAAGAAAAAAATAGTAACTTAGCCCTTTAGAGAAGAACATAACATTTGACTACAGCTGGGCCTGGTGGTGCATATCTATAATCCCAACACTAGGGAGGCTGAAATGGTAGGATCGCTAAATTCAGGCCAATCTGAGCTCCACAGCAAGTTAGTAAGACCTTGCCTCAAAAAAAAAAAAAATGTGTCTATAGTACACATTGCATTAACAAATGTAAGAATACCATGTGTGCTCTTTCTACAGTAGACAGTCTTTTTTTTTTTTCTTTTATTATTCATATGTGCATACAAGGCTTGGTTCATTTCTCCCCCCTGCCCCCACCCCCTCCCTTACCACCCACTCCACCCCCTCCCGCTCCCCCCCCCTCAATACCCAGCAGAAACTATTTTCCCCTTATCTCTAATTTTGTTGTAGAGACAGTATAAGCAATAATAGGAAGGAACAAGGGGTTTTGCTGGTTGAGATAAGGATAGCTATACAGGGCATTGACTCACATTGATTTCCTGTGCGTGGGTGTTACCTTCTAGGTTAATTCTTTTTGATCTAACCTTTTCTCTAGTACCTGTTCCCCTTTTCCTATTGGCCTCAGTTGCTTTTAAGGTATCTGCTTTAGTTTCTCTGCATTAAGGGCAACAAATGCTAGCTAGTTTTTTAGGTGTCTTACCTATCCTCACCCCTCCCTTGTGTGCTCTCGCGTTTGTCATGTGCTCATAGTCCAATCCACTTGTTGTGTTTGCCCTTGATCTAATGTCCACATATGAGGGAGAACATACGATTTTTGGTCTTTTGGGCCAGGCTAACCTCACTCAGAATGATGTTCTCCAGTTCCATCCATTTACCAGCGAATGATAACATTTCGTTCTTCTTCATGGCTGCATAGAATTCCATTGTGTATAGATACCACATTTTCTTAATCCATTCGTCTGTGCTGGGGCATCTTGGCTGTTTCCATAACTTGGCTATTGTGAATAGTGCTGCAATAAACATGGATGTGCAGGTGCCTCTGGAGTAACAGTCTTTTGGGTATATCCCCAAGAGTGGTATTTACAGTAGACAGTCTTGTCCACATTTACTAAAATGTTTTCCACAGGACTTGCTTGGTTGCCAATACAAATAGTAAGCCACACCTAGAGATGCTTAGGGAGTGAGATGCTAAATTATCAAAAAGTCATATTTCACCTCTATGTTACTTTATTTTGATTTTTCCCAATGTCAATTTTTCATAACAACTTTATATTTTAACATTTTTATTAGTATATGATACTTATGCAGAGGGTTTCATTGTGATATTTCCATATAAACATGTATTTTATATCCCAATTTGATTCATCCCCTTTATTATTCTCCTTCCTATCCCATTCCCCTTTTTAACATGACTTCAGCAGGTCTTAGTGTTCATTCATATGTATTTAGAAAGTACCTCAATCATATTCACCTTCCTTTACCCTTTTCATTTACCCTCCACCCCCCACCTCCACCCCGCAGTTCCCTCTCCTAACATCACCTGTTTTATATTCCTGTCCTTCATCATTTAAGTGTCTGTTCATTACTCCCTGGGTATTTTGCCTTGGTGTTTTACCTGTAAATATATTGTGCTTAAATCAGTCTAACCTCTTCCACTGCTCTTCCTCTCCCTTTTCTCCCTACCATATTTTTCAACAATTTTCAGTGTGTTTCATTGTGTCTTGTTCCTGCACAGATGTGACATATTTCATTATTATACACTCTGTCATTCCTTTCTTCTTTTCTTTCTCCTTTAGTCTCCTCTAACAGTCCCACTTTGGGAAATATGTTCTGTATACATTTATACGTATATGTGATAATGCTTGTATTTGTATTGGATCTGTCTCCCACATATGAGAGAAGACATTCGACCTTTGTCTGTCTGAACCTGGCTAACTTCACTTAAGTTGATGTTCTCCCGTTCCATCCATTTACCTGCAACGACAAAATTTCGTTTTTCTTTATGGCTGAATAAAATTCTATTGTATGTATATACCACCAATGTAAAATTTTTATAGGCAGAAAATTTAAAACTTAACCACCATTCACCAAATTAATTAAAACAAGTATATTATTACATAACCATTTCCTCTTAAGAATCTCCAAATGCCCAAACTTGCTTTTCATCCATTACAGAGTCATAACCAAAGGGAAAAAATATCAAGCTGCTTCCGGCTATTAGTTTTCAACTCTCGTTGCTTTAACTCTGAAGGACAATGTCTGGATCATGGCCATCATTCCCTGTTCTTTCATTCAGTCCTTGTTATTTTGACAGTAACCAGACAGTGATTTGCTTTACCATGCATCACTTGCGTTTGTCTGCTGCAATCATGTTTATAACAACGGGGCTTGTTATTGATGAGATGATACTTAGTTTATTTAGTTTGTAAATGTCAGAGGTTTCTGTAGTGATTTATTTAGGAAACTATAAAGGTCACTTCAAACACTGCTATTTTAAGAGTCAGACTTACAACCTTAGAAACCCACTTTTCTATACAAATTAATATAATTCTGGGCTTTCTGCAATAAGGAAATTGCATATTTAAATACTTCAAAACATGGCCCTACTACTTTCAATAACTATAGGCTTTATTAAGGTTGACTTACAAGAATTTCAGTTTGTCAGTTTGTTTATTGAGTGCAAGATATTTTCCAGGAGCAGGTGTGGACTGGGAAACATAACAGCCCTGGTTCCTGCTCTCTTGGATCATGATCTTGTAAGGGACAGAAAACAATTCTACTGTATTACATAATTTTAAGTGTGGTAAATATATGCCATCAAAAACTTGTGAAGGGAACCTTGTGTGGATGTCAGGGAAGGTTTCTTCAAGGAAGTACCATGTGATCCCAGACATGAAGTATGTGCATTTCAAGCAGAGAACGAGGCCCATAGAAACCCTGAAGAGGGGTGAAGCCTGATATTTCTGAAGAACCAAAAGAAAGGGACCTGTTAAGTGATCAGAGAGCAACTGAAACAAAAACAGAAACACTGAGATCATGCAGGCCTCCTGGTCTCCAAAGACCCAAAACTGAAGAGCTTCAAGTAAAGATCAGTGAGACTCCCATGATAAGAAGTTGTCTAATGTGTGTGGGGACTAGACTGGAATGACACTGCCATTAGATCTTTCTGCAATGATGGAAATGTTCTGTGTCTTCCCTGTCCACCACAGTGGCAAGGGTCACATAGTAGAGCTACTGAGCACTACTGTGGCTAAAAAACTGGGTTTTCTATTTAATTTTAATAAATTTAAATGGAAAAATCACTATCAGAATGAAAGCAGGAAATGAGATCATGAGCCACTGCAGACACAAAGGCAGGTGGTAATGGTGGCTGGAGCCAGGATCCTATGGACAAGAACAGAGAGAGGAGTGGATGGATTCAGAGATACATGGAAAATAAAACTTAGAGTTTGAGAACTGATTATGTGTGGGACTGAGAAGTAACAGAAGAACTTAAAAATAACTGCCAAATTTGTTTTGCTTTGTTGGTGTTTGGTCTTTGTTTTGTTTTGTTTTTGTGGTGCTAGGGAATTGAAGCCAGGGCCTTGTGTAGGCTAGGCAGGTGTTCTACCACACAGCTACATCCGCACCCTCATTGACTGCCTGATTTTTATGTGTATAGATGGGCAGATGTGTATACCTGAGCACAAGATAAGGTTGAGGAGGAAAAGATAGTGAATTCCATTTCTAGCATATTCAATTTTAGATGCCCACATAGACATCCAAATGGCTTTTTTCAATATGCATCAGGAAATCAATTGTCTTATAGATGCATATGTACTAATTTACTTTTGTCTAACTAAATCAACAAATACAGGTTTTATTTTTTAATAGATAAAATTAGTTTTGAGTTACAAAACTTAAAAAGCTATTCTGTTAATGCTCAAATTCTCTGAATTCCAGGAATGACGTCTCAAATAAATTATGTTTCTGGTTTTATAAGCAAATATACTTGAAAGATAAAAACATTAATTTAAGCCATAGGGGGAAAAATTTATACCTACTGTTATGTGGTGGAGAGCCAGCAGATCCAAATGTAAGACCTGGTGTGGGTTGTAAGCATAGCTGGCTCTCACCCATGTTGTAATCTCGCTTAGCCTCCAAAACTTAGTTTCCTTGCCTTTAAAATGAGGATACCTACCTGCATTTGCACATTGCTGATAGTTTTTGTAGTGGATCTGGACTCATAAATGGCAGCGGAGGTGGACTGTGGGAGTGTAGTATTAAGAGGAAAACCTGCCCTTTTTTCATTCTTACTGCCCTTGTCCCCTCAGTTTTTGACCCTTCAGATTGATAACTCTACAAAAATTACCAAATAATTTTAAAGGCAAGAATCTGAGGAGCCTCTTATTTTATTGCAAGCCACTTTTTTGAGATTTGCTAATGATCATAGCTTTGACAGAGTTTTATATTAGTCTGAGCTAAAATAAATAAAAATTTATTTAACTATGTACTGTTTACTAGAGGACCATATTTTTAGAATAAGAGATGGTCCCGTATCTTTCTCATCATGTTTACAAAACTATCCTGGTGATTATTATCAACATAGCACATTAGTTCACAGACCATCTGCTCATCTCAAAATATCTTTCTGAAAATAAGAGATTTGTTGGAATTTAAATGTAACATTGAGTTGCAGTTGACATGGAGTTTTACATCCTAGTTGCTAATGTGATTGTGCTATGTTATCTGAATTAAAAGCTGAGTCACTCTCAAATTCATTTCCCTCTCTTTTCAGGTCATGTATCGGTTGGAGGACTTGGAGACAGTTTTTATGAATATTTGCTCAAGGCATGGTTAATGTCTGACAAGACAGATCTAGAAGCTAAGAAGATGTATTTTGATGCTGTTCAGGTAACCCAATATTTAATTCATCTTTGCCACTCAGCTGTAACTGATAGCTTCAATATTAATCAAGCTTTAATGACAAAATGGAACACCACATGAATGGGTTGAAAAATATTTTCGGTTAGGTAGAGTTCACTATCTGCCAGTGTAATTATAACAACAGTAATCATACATGATTTTTTTAGTTCTAATAGGACAGTTAAAGGTTTTTAATATAATTCATACCTCATTTAATGAGTCACGTATCTGAAAAAGAGCTACAGTCATGGACAGCATGGACCATATATGACAGTGGTCCCAAAAGATCATACTGCTTGCTTATACCATAGCCATTTTAGTTTGTGTAAGTACATTCTATGATGTTCACACGATGAAATTGTCCACAGTGCATTACTCAGAATGTATCCTCTTCATTAAGCAAACATAACTGACTATACTCTTTCATAAATATGATTTCCCTCCATATAACTACATTTAAGATTATGGTAGAAAAACTCTGAATTTATACTCAGAAAATTGACTAAGTTGAAGTTGCTCAAGATTATTGATAGTCCCAATGGCTACTGTCATTTGAAATAAACTTACCTCCAGAGATGTATTGAAAGTACTATGTGGAAATCCACATATAAAAATATGACCAAATACTACTTAAGGAAATTCATTATTTATGATCCTTTTCAAAAATCCTTTATAATGCATCTGGGGTGTGAGGGAATAGATACGTGTTGAATTGCTTACTATGTGCCAAGCTGTGTGTTATGTGGATGCTTTAAATGAAGGGGTAGGTTGTTTATTTTCTCACAGTACTTTAAATATTATTCACTCAATTTTACAGATAAAGTTGCTGAACCCTAGAGAGATTATGTGTGGAATCAAAATTCAAACTAAAATTTGTGTCATCCCTGTCCCTTTTTACTTCACCTCTCTACTAGTAAGATAAGTTAGAAACTATTTAGCAAAATCTATAGGAAGTAACTAGTATAAAGATAACCTAAATAAGCTTTGATTAAAAAATTAAAATTAAGTTAAAAAGTGAATTTTTAAAAATATTTTATATAAAATACTTTAACTTATGCCCAACTTTTCAAGAACAAAAGCTTCTTACCCAGAATGAAGTCCTTTGTGATTAAGAAACTTATGTGAATAACTCACATATATTCTTCTAATATCACTGTCAAAACTTTGAATAATGTTACAAAATTTTGGTTAAATCCTCAGAAAATTAACCTCCTTCTTGACTGCTCAGAATTTTTTTATAATCAGCAGTAATCATTCATGGGAAAAAATATAAACTTATAATCCCAGTAATTTAGCCATTATCCTAACCAGAGAAGTGTGGGTGATTTTGACATAGGCTCATTCATTTGTTTAAGTATAAATGTAGCTTGCTTTGATCTGGTTGAATAGATTGGAGTGTTCCATTGGTTTCTTGCCTTGATCAGTCAAGAGCCTCACTAACCAAAGCACTACCTAGAGCCTTTACTGCTTCACATCCTGGGATTAGAAATGCTGTGGTTACAGCATGGCCTTTGTTGGGCACAGTCTTTATTAAGGCACAGGATTAGCATCAAATGCAAACTAGGATATGGTCCCTATGGCCTTTTGCCTTCATTTGGTAATACTTGAATCTCATTCCTATAAGCTGTATTTTTCCTCATTTCTGTGAGGTTTCAGGTTTTGATCTAGGGAGTTCTCTGTATATTATGGTTTCTATTACTTCACGTTCCAATTATCATACTAGCAGATATTTTAATTATTTTAATCTTAAAGTGACCCTCTCTAAGGTCTTGACATTCCAAGAAAGGCAGCTTTCAAATATTCTTTGAAATATTTTTCTCCTAGTTTCTAGAACTAAACCCACACCACTTTTAGTATCCTGTCGTCAGGCAAATCATTGACAGGAAAATCCATTAAGAGCAAATGAATTCAAAGAGTTTATTGTTTTTCTTATTAGTAAAACCGTTTTCAACCTATTGTGTATTTTTAATCTAGGGACAAAGGTAGAAAAACTAAACTTATGATTTTGAAAAGTAATAATGTTTTGTATAGCAAAGTTTCTTTCTGCTAAGTTGTACTCTTTATTAGTATAAATTAATTACATAAAGAAGTTTCATTGTGATACTTCCATATATGCATATAATTTACTTTGATCAAATCTACCCCCTCTTGTTAATCTCTTAAGTCCCATTCCTTCCCTTGCCCTTTTAACAGTTTAAGTGGGTTTCATTGTGCTATTTTCATACATATGTAAAGTACTTTGATCACATTCATCACCCCCATCACCCTGTACTTTAAAAGTATGAGTCAGGCACTCTGGTACATATGTGTAGTTCCAGCTACCTAAAGGCTGAGGCAGAAAGATTGCTAGAGAATAAGAGTTCAAAGGCAGGCTGGGGAATATATAGCAAGATCCCATATCAAAAAAAATCATCATTATCAAAATGAGTATACCTTAAATAATTATTGTTCTAGATAGTTGAGTTACTGAAGATACGTTACTCAGTTTTTCTCCAGGTAGATTTGGAATGCACTGAATCCCAAAGCAGTATGGGGTTTTTTTTGTTTTTTGTTTTTTGTTTTTGATGATGTAGCAACAAAATACTTTGAGCTTTCAGCTGGTTATTAAGGTCCTATCTGTACATCACATTAAGAATCCACAAGTAGTGAAAGATAGTTGGGAAGGTTATATATACAACATTTAGAAGTCCACAGGCTTCATCAAGCCAATATTTTTCAAATACAGAAAGATTAAACCACTAAATATATGGTAGTGTCTCTTCTTAATTAATTCTCTGTAGGCTTGACACAAAAATTTATTAGAGCCACTAAAGACTATTTTTCCTTCTTTGCACTTATTTACATTTTTCCCTGTTTCCACACAAAACCATTGCTTTGAAAGTCTTGGAACTTCATTTTAGTTTATTTTAAAAGGTAGCAAGTTGGTCAGAATCATGCCAAAAATGATGTAGTACTTTATTCAGTATCCATAGCTGGCTAATATTGTTTCTGTAATCTGTGCTCAAAAGCCATTACTCCTGCCATGTAGAAAGAATAATTTCTTGGGTGATGAACAAGTATCTGCTTGAAGGACTTTATTGCAATTTGTGTTATGAGAAGTGTAAATAGCTAAGATGTTCAGTTGCATTAAATAAGAATGAAATATTAATGTAATAAGTAAACCATCAATAAAATTAGCTTAACCACAGTTAATGAGCACAGCATGTTCATTTATTTCTTACCATCCTAGTTTCATTTGTTTATTTCTAATAAAGGTAGGAAAGGTTTTATCTGCCTGTGTATTCATTTTCATTCGTTCTTTTCTATCTACTCTTCTCAAGTTTGCTTCCTGAAAAATCTTTCTTTTTTGACAGCAGTGACAGCTATAAACACAATCATAGTTTTTTCCTTCTATGATGTAAGAGGGGCATTTTCTGTTAGAGACATGAGAAATTAGTAATTCCAAATACACCTCATTTTTGCTTTTTAAAACATAAGGCCTATTTTATTTACCTATCTAGTTTTAAAGAATATCAACTGTCCTTGGGAGAAATAATAAGATATTTTATGTCATTTTATAGGCATTATCATTTATCCCAGATTTAAAGGGGCATAAAGGAGTAAAAGGAAAGACTAATGTCATCAGCCTGAATTTTATACCCAAATACACTCACTCTGTCCATCTACAGTGAGGCCTGGGTTTGTGTTATTTTGCCATTTTTGAACATGAAAATGTAGTGACCAAACTATTACCACTGCACCAGTGGCCTGTCTTGGAGAAGGGGATGGCTTTGGGTGTGTGAAGACTGCAAGTGTTTAGTTATAGGTCCAAACAATTCAACTGGGGTGACCTACCTACCAAACTAAGTGATGAATTCAAAGAAGACTACAGAAAGCAATAACATAATATTTCAGGTTGAATTGGATTTGCAATGCCAAAACAAAGTTGTGAGTCATGTTGTATTTTTTAATTATATTTTAATAATACTACAGTATTTAGTATAAATTTGAGAAGGGATTACAGAATGTTAAAAATAAGTATTATTTTCAGGCCATTGAAACTCACTTGATCCGCAAGTCTAGTGGGGGATTAACTTACATCGCAGAGTGGAAAGGGGGTCTCCTGGAACACAAGATGGGCCACCTGACCTGCTTTGCGGGAGGCATGTTTGCACTTGGGGCAGATGGAGCTCCTGAAGGCCTGGCCCAACACTACCTTGAACTTGGGGCTGAAATTGCCCGCACCTGTCATGAATCTTACAATCGCACCTGTGAGTACATATTATTCTTCATGTGCAGTTTATTCCTCCATGCTTTGATTTTGTTCAGTAAGGAACTTTATCATCACTGCCATCAAGTGAGACCTGTTGAAACTATTCCAGGAATGGTGGTAGCGGGGATAAAGGAGAATGATGGAGGGGGTGAATTCAAGTACGATATACTTGATATATTGTAAGAACTTTTGTAAATGCCACAATGTACCCCCACCCAGCACAACAATTAAAAAAAAGAGAGAGAATATTCACTGTGCCTGGTGACACTTGATGGCCATTATTAAGGCCTTAAATGAATTTATATTTGAACTTTTAAAGGCACTGCTTTCATAGGTAGATGATAGATAGATAGATAGATATCCCTTAGTTTGCCAAGTAAGAATCCATCCCAGTAAGAGTTAAGCTATTTACTAACTCCTGCAGGCCTCTGTCCCAGTACAAAAAGAATAGGACTGAAGGTGTGGCTCAGACAGTGGAGTGCCTGCCTACTAAGTATGAAGCCCTGAATTCAAACCCCTACTATTTTCAAAGGGAAAAAAATACTATTCAGTAGAAAAAGAGACCATTTTGTAAACAATTACTAATTTTTCCCCAACCCCATAAAATAGATCATGCATCTGTCTTCCTGCTTACAAAATAGGTACTTGATATGCAAAGATTAAATAGCTGGCCTTTGTGACACAATAACAGAATTCTCAACCACTGAGTTTCCAGAGAACTAATAAGTTTCCAGCTAATAGTAAGTGCCTCATATTCATCTGGTCAGTGCTCAGCAAATGGAATTAAATGGGAAAAAAAAATAAAGGCTTGTTACCGTTTTATAAAATGTATTCTTTTAGATGGCTAAGTTTTAAAAGTATATTGAATGTATGTGTAATATATGATGCTCGTAACTAATACGCAGAATGATTATTTTGGCATCTGTCTTCAATGCGGTCAAGTACTTTCTAGCTTCGTTTAAGTTACAGACCCTAAGCATTGTATAGGATGGGACGGTAACCCTTGTTCACCCATTAAATGTTCTTTAGTTATGAAACTGGGACCAGAAGCTTTCAGATTTGACGGTGGTGTCGAAGCCATTGCTACAAGGCAAAATGAAAAATACTACATCTTACGGCCAGAAGTCATTGAGACTTACATGTATATGTGGCGACTGACTCATGATCCAAAGTACAGGAAGTGGGCCTGGGAAGCTGTAGAGGTGATGTTTTAATTTCCATATGTTTTGTTGTTGTTTTGCGTATTTTTTAACAAATAACTGTGTCAGTGAAAGGTGTTCAGCGATACCTGTAAATCTGGCATAACCATTTTTTCTGTAACTTTTAAAGCTGTGACTAGAGTTTTTTCTTCCATTCAGAACCAGGTGTTTCCCATTGAGTCGTTCCATACCCTTGACTTCGGCTTTGCTTAATATGACAGTTATATAAGGATACTACTGGTAGACTTGCGTATTGAAGGAGATATCTAGAAGGACACATTATAACATTAAGTTCCCATGACTATGGAAATGATGCTCGCGCTGTCTTCTTTTTCTTTTTTCTTCGGTGGGACTGGGGTTTGAACTCAGGTCCTTGGGCTTGTTAGATAGGTGCTCTACCACTACAGCCATGCCTCCAGCCCAGTGATGGTTGCCGAATTCCACAAAGTGTTACTGATAACTTGGGGATTTTCATCCCTGTCTGTTGTCTGTTTCAAGAAGTTACTACAGGTACATGTTTTGTTTTGTTTTCCTTTGAGCTTTAAAGTAATAGTATACACTGTACTTACATTACAGTAAGTAAATTACTTAGACCTACTTTTAGAAAAGAACTTATGGAAAAATTACTGGAACAATGAACAGGCAAATATTTAAAATGGAAAAAATAAAGTGTCTGAAATTTATCCCCCCCCCCAAAAAAAAGAAAGAAAATTTACTTTGTATGAGTATATTCCTTCACTGTCTCAGGCTTCTCTTAAAATCTGTAAGTTTTCCATCTGTCTCAGTGTGGTGTTTTAATTGTGTCTCACCTCTTGAGTCTCTTTCTGCCAAATATAGTATATTATCTTCCTAAACTAATCTATTGGACACTTTGTGTGCTGGATTGCCAGAGGAGGTGCCCTCAAGGCTATGCATTAAACGATGTCTAATTTAAAGAGCTATTATTCTGAAAAACGTGGGAGGAAATTCAGGGCATAAGAACAAGCAAATGCTTTAATAACATGCTCATTCTCTAGAGCTCTTTGTTAGAAAGCTAGTTATATTTAAAAACTGTCCTTAGGAATAACTTCTCTCAGGAAATCTAAAATAAATACTGTTTTTTTGTAAAATTTAAACTAAAACTTGGAAAGCCATTGATGAATCTTATAACCCCTTCTTTTAGTGTATCTCTTATCACTAATAGTCAGTCATTTTAAGTAACAGACTATGCAGTCTTCTAATTATGTTCAATCATTAGTAATTCTAATTACTTTAAATTTTTGTTATATTTTTCTCTGAAAAGAATATAATAAAATTTAGGTTCATCTAAGCTTTATTGATAGGGATTATTCAGTCTTGAGTTAGCCAGCAAAGGAATTATGATTTTAGATTACAAATATCAATTTAAATTGGAAAATCAATAACATGTTTCATCAAATCTAAGATACAACAATCTATAAGAAGCCTTATTATGTCAAATACCATTAAGAAAGAACAACACTGCAAATTAAAATAAGACTTGCCAATTTTGTAGATGCTAAAATGTGAAAAATATATGTCAGAGAATGATCAGCAGTGGAGACCAAGTAAATCCGTGTTGCTCCGTGCGCAGGAAGCATTGGTTTGCCTGATTCTTCAGGGTGGCTATTTGTGGAATAATAAAGTTTATTTTATGCATTATGATTTTTATGTCTTGTCAACTCTTTAGCATGACATAGGATGTGGAATTGTTTCCCTCTATCAGAACACAGCACACATACACACACACGCACACACACACCCTTCCCATTTTTTGCTACTGGTAATTTCTGTTAGAAATTGAAATAGAGTAGTGAGCAGGAGTGCTGGGGTCTCCTGTCTCAGCATGAAAACCATTGCCTTGGAAGGCAATGGCAGCATTTGTTTTTCCCTGTGGTCCATCCCTCTTGTCTGCTTGTTTCAGTGTCAGCCCCAGTGTGTCCAGCAACTCCAAGTTGAAGCACCTGGTGTTTCGCAGCTGTTCTGCCTCTGACTCAGTGCTCACTGCTCAGCCATCTCAGTCTTCCTTTTTAAAGGAATAGTTCTGTGGTGCATCCTGCATGGCCGTTCAAAGCATTTCCAGCAGGAGTGAGCCCCATCACACACAACTCAACCCACTCAGCATGTCTCATGGCTCTGCTCTCATTTGCTTCACTCTCACTTCCTGATATCACCTCAGTAAACTTCCTGTTTCCAACCCTCATCTCATTTTCTGTTTTTATGAGTATATTCTTATTAGAAAATAATAATGGGTTTCATTATAACATTTTCATGCATGCATATGATATGCTTTGGTCATATGTATCCCCATCTTCTGTTCTCCTCCTCCCTTCTAAAATAGTCCCTCTTCATGCTCTATTTTTAAAGGAACCCAAAAATCACCTCTCCAGCCTTTACTCAAAGACACACCCCTCTCCATATCTTTTTTCCCCCTTGGGGTTTGAATGCAGGGCTTTACACTTGTTAGGCAAGCAGTCTACTGCTTGAGCCACACCTCCAGCCCTTTTTGCTCTGGTTATACTGGAGCTAGGATTCTCCCTATTTGCCTAAGCTGGCCTGGACCGCCTCTTATTTATGCTTTCCCTCTCCCCCATTGCTGGAATGACAGGTTTATGCCACCATTTCCAGTTTTTTCCCATTGAAATGGGATCTCCCACACGTTTTTCCCAGGCTGGCCTTAAACCACGATCTTCCCAATCTCAGCCTTCCAAGTAGCTACATTACAGGCATAAACTACTGGCACCCAACTTTCCTCTACGTATCTTCACCACTTGGCTAGTCCTCATCAACTCAAGGACTTTGTAGCACAAGGGAATTTACTAACTGTTCTCCCATTTTTGAATGGGAGAAAGCGTTACTTCTTTTGAAAACAAAATTTATGGTGTTCAGTGCTCTGGGAGTCTAGGTGAGTTGGGAGGATCACTCTTCTACATTTGAGTTTCCCAATCATCTGAAAGACAGCACATTCTGCCAGCTCTTCCCTTCGTCATTCATCAGTTTTTCCACCTTCTTCTCCTGACATCGTTTCCAGATGTGGTCTTTCAAGGATGAGTAGTGTGACTCAAAAATCCCTGGCGTATATGAAATTATGGTGAAATAATGTGAGCTACTCCATTAGCTACTGTTGAGTCTCATCTCTTGTTCTATACAGTACTTGTTTTCAGCCATGCTTCCAGTTGGTAAAGTATTTGTAAGCTATTGTCCTGTCTTCTAACAAAACACTCTATTCCCAGACTTCTTTCACTGATACACTTGATAAACCTGATTTCCATGTCTCAATTATCTGTCCTAATAATAATGTCAAATAAAATAAGAAAAAAACTATATAATTCAGCAGTACAGGACTGAACCCTTCCTCCATAGGTGAACAGTAATCCATTAACCACAGGTGTTCAAGCACATGAACCCACCTAACAGAAATATCTGATAACTTCTTTTGCTTTTTGTCAATAATGTCATGAAGATCTGTATTAAATTCCTCCCAGTTAAACATCTGACAACCTATGGATGAACTTTATCAGAATATTAATTGTACATGTAAATTCATATAGATTGAGTAATGTCTTACCTGGTCCACACTAGAAGATAAGACTTATATAGGAATTTTCCTGTTTTTCTTTGCATACTTTTCTTTAGTACCTAACCCTTTCCTCATAGACATTCAGATTCTCCAAGAGTGATTTATTGTTCCATTTCCTGCTTCTACCTCCCCAGGCATGATCCCTGTTTCCAAACGTTCTCTAAAATGTTCATATTGTCTGGATCTTTCTGTTCTCTTTGAGTTCAGAGGGCCTTCATAGCATTATCCCTTGGAATTCACTCTTGGAAACCTCCATGGATTAGCCATTCACCTTTTCTGGTAGATAGGCGAATGCTGTCAGTGGTTTGCTGATCAACAAACCTATTCTGTAAGGGCTAGAAAATACTAGGCTTGAGACCTAATAGTTTCTCTTGCACTGCTCAACTCTGCCATTATAGTACAAAAAGCATTCACAGATGTAAGCAAATGAGTATGATTGTGCTTTGATAAAACTTTATTTACAAAAATAAACAAGACTTGATTTAGCCTGTGGTCTTCGATTTATGAAACCCTACTCTAGACCACAAGAGGAAATGGCAGAAATCAGTAAAAACTAAACCTAGAAGTGTTTCCAGTTAGTTAAGATAATGTTTCCTTTGGCTTTTCAATTCTATTTGCCTATTTTATGGCTTTTAAATTTTCCACCTAAAACTGTTACAAAATTGCATTCAATTTGAATCCTTATTTTTTTCTGAGTTTGACAATGTAATAATAAGGCATAGGAACAATCGGTTTATAGATATTTTCCCCTCTTCTCTGTAATTCAGGCCCTGGAAAATCACTGCAGGGTGAATGGAGGCTATTCGGGCCTAAGGGATGTTTACTTCATTCATGAGAATTATGATGATGTCCAGCAGAGTTTCTTCCTGGCAGAGACACTAAAGTAAGTAAAAATGATTCTGAAAGTATGTGGCTGAGGTGCTGAATAGCTCTCCAACGTAGATGTCTTCATTGTGAATGCATTTAAATTATACCAGGCATGACTGACTCAAAATGCCATTCTACATGCATGGTAGTAATTGCGTGCAGATGGCTCTAGTCGCTACGAAGTTTGGTGACTTGGGACTGCTTTGTTTGGTTCTCTTGTGCTCCCACCGAAGCACAGAGTAAGTTACTCCATGTTAATGAGTATGTTTGTACCCCCTCGGTACCGATAGATTTGACTGTTGTCCGTGGTTCTCCATAAGATGAATGGAGACACTGATGTGGTTTCTGCTGCATCTTGGTGGTTTCAGTGCCTGACATGGTCTCTTAAGCCTCACGTACTCATTTTTCTCTTATCAGATATTTGTACTTAATATTTTCTGATGATGATCTTCTTCCACTGGAGCACTGGATCTTCAACACCGAGGCACATCTTCTCCCTATACTCCGTGCAGATAAAAAGGAAGTTAAAGTCAAAGAAAAATAAAAAGATGTTTTATATTTTACTCTGCTTCATTCCCTCCACTGCATACCTTAGTAATTCCTTTTCTGGTAATCAGACGTGATGAACTTTTATCAGTAAGTCTGTAATTATTCTAAGTTCTAAAATTGTTTTGCAGTCTTTTGTGTTTATTATCATAGGCATAAATGTACCTAAATTCCTTACTCCTTTATTATTCAGTCAGTGGATCCACAGCTTTTGTTTGTCTGGGATGTTTTTTAAGTAATCTTTCATCTCTGGAGTTCATGATGGTGTGATATCACTTTCATGAAACGGAATAGAAAGAATACCAATGACTTCTTAATTACAACTTGATTTGACTGCAAAACTTTTTCCTCCTCTATGAGGAGATGATGTCTGCTTTAAGCTGTAATGTTTTGCCATGTTGCAAAAAGCCATAATAATAAATGAAGTATTAAAAAAGCTTTTTTCCTTTTCAATTTCATGTTAATCTGGTTTGTCTATCCACCAGAGACAGATCTTATAACTGTGACAGCCTCCTTATGTGGGTCTATCATTATTTGATAGAATGTCTTCTAAAATACTTCATTCACATTGTAATTCAAATTACAAAGTCATCCCAAAAGAATCATCTCATGTTGACCTAGTTTCATTGGAACTGCCATATATTTTATTGGTTAATTATATTAGTGTTTCTTCAGTTGTAAATTTCTTCTCTGCTTTAATTTTAAATGCCCTGTGTCATTTCTATCGCGTACTGGTTAATTTCTTCCATTCCCAACCACACAGTGAGGTGAGCTCTTGGGTTTTGCAGAGTTCTACTATCACTGAATCATGTTTTTTAAAGGGAAACAGTGTAACTGTCAATGTGCTAGCTATTGCTTTTAACAGAATATATTTTTTAAAATTGGGTCTCTAAATGGGGTGAGAATTTCATATGGCTATTAGTTCAATTGCTTACATTTCATCATTAACTGTTTCTTAAAAAAAGAAAGCATTCCATTTGGTTCAGATTTGAAAAGGGCCCTTTCTCAAATGTAGTAAATTACTTCACTTCAGTTTATGAAAGCAGGATTTGACTCAGTGAAAGAAATTTTGCCAGTTTATCTATTCATGGTCTATTAAGAAAAATCTAATAAATTCTTAGGGCAAATAAGAATATAAGATATTTAGTTAGTATGGTTACATAAAGACCCCAACTTAGAAGAAATAAATAATAATGGACATTCTTAGTCCCCCACAATTTGATCTGCAGCAGATCAAAATAATTACATGATTCTTCTAAACTTTGTTTTGAAGTATGAATGATTTTTCCAAGAATAGATTTGGTGATACCTTGTGTTTTCTTATCATGTTGGTTCTTTAGGTGAAAGGGCTAATATGATGACACGCATACTAAGATGTGAAGTCTTCCACCACCTAAATGCTTAACCTAGAATGGTCAAGTCAGATCAGTGAAAGCCCACGGACTAGGCTGAAGCATATAAAGTTGCCACATTTGGAGTTTTAAAACTGCCTACATCAGTAGTTTCATATGGTTCAACCTAGTATTTTTAAGACAATTCTTTTCTTAGGTCTTGATAGACAATAATTTTATCTATTTCAGCTTTTTAAAATGGCTCAAAAGATTTTCTTTGTCTCACAGGACTACTTTGTGTGACCTGTTTTCTTTTGTTTTTAATATTGTACATTGGTATATGCCAAAGAATAAATTAGTAAAATTAGTGAGTAAGTAAGATCCCTCAATACATTGCTATGGCCAGGTTAATGGGTCTGTGTGTCACAGAATAATTTCTCCCACGTACAGCTTCAGGTCACCTAATGAAATGAATGAATGCCAAGAGTCTTTTTTCCTAAAACTTAAGGCAAAATATAAAAAATTACTGCCAAAATTGAACCAGTATTTATAATTTTTGCATAAATGTCCTTGAACTAGCAATTGAAATTAATTTTCTTTGCATTTTCTTTTGGTTCGAAGAAGTACACAAAGCTGATAAGTTTTCTGCAGCAGATGGGGTATTAAAATCAGGTGGTGTGTACACACTACACTGTAATGTACCTTTTGTATCTGGGTATAAAGACAAGAAGCTGTACTACATATTGCTTTGCCAATGGCAAGAATCGTTTTTTAGTTCAAGAATAGTTTTGTGGATTTTTTTAATGTAAGTCCCAAAACACCAAAAATGTAAACAAGAGATTTATGTTATAGTGATGTAATTTAATTAAACTGATTGTGTTAATTATTTTAAACAGCCGAAGTCTCTAGGTAGACACTGTCTTTCATGCATTTTTCAACAAAATGTGCATTTGAGTCTACATGCTCAGCACATCCTTAAACTAGCACACACTTTTGTTTATGCAATATGTTTTGATGTACTTTGCGCAATTAATATTTCACACATAAGTTGTATGCCAATTTATAGAACTCAGTGACTTCTTATCCTGACTTTTTCATGTGTATTACACATGTTACATTGATTGTTTTTTTATTTGTTCATAACTCCATTCTGTCATTTTCAACTTTATATAAATCTCTAATGTTATGGAAAGCATAATAGATTGACACATAATTTTTAAAAATTATATTTGTAAGATTTCTCTATTGTGAATAAAGTCTTTTAATATATCTCCTTATATGTCATATTTTCTCCCTTTAAGTAAGCTTCTGTATGTCCAGAGGTGAGTGTGTACAGGTGCAAATGTGATAGCAAATACACCCACAACTAGGGAATCTTGAGAGGGAAACATTTCCCATTAAAAATTCTGCATTGCAAATGACTTTGCCTACACAGCCTTTGGTTCATCAGGAATTTGTTGAGCCTGCATTCAACACCAGGCAGGGAGTTGGTGCCAGAAATGACATAAAGCTGATGCTTGTGCTAAAGTTTGCAATCCAAAAAAAAGATCATATTAACCTCACCCACCCACCCCTGAAACTAGCTCACTTTTGCTGCACAAGTTCAGGGGAGCACTATTAGGGTAGCCAGGGAGGCTTGGTAGAACTTGGAGAGAGCCTTCTTAGCACCTAAGAGAGAACTTAGGCTATAGGAGAGCTGCCAGTGTTTTTGAAAATGCCTAGGTTTTAAAGATGTATGTTGTATTTTTCTCAGACATTTTGGTTGCTATTCCTGCTGCCTAGAACTCTTTCTCCAGGGTTTCTGTGACTCATTCCTCACCTCATTCAGGTCTCAAAGGTGACCTTATCAGAGTGACTTCTTTGGCATGGCAGTGTAAAATATCCTATAATCCTTTCCCCTTACCCTATTTTATTTTCCAAAAGCATTGTTTGTGTTGACTTGTTTGTATTTTGGAGGCAGTGCCTCCCTGTATAGCCCAAGCTGGCCTCACATGGAGTTCATGATTCCTCCTGTCCCAGCCTCCCTAGTGCTTTGATTAGATGCACATGCCACTATGTATACCCAGCTCCCACCACTATTTTGTGTGACTGAATCTTACAGTCCCTGCCTCACGGAGAAATAAAAATTTTTTAAAGACTTTCACTAGAACTAGTTTTTCACCTAACATACAGTTAGTTAAATGCAAGCCTTCCAAATTCAATTTTTGTAGCATAAATGGCATAAGTTGTGTTTACTCTGATGATGACAGATTTGTTAAAATTTATTCTAAGCATGATTTTTATTCATACTAATTGTCGGCCATCTACACAGAAATGGCAGCTTGGCAGCCAATACATCTAATTTCTGATACTGATATGTAGGCAGTAGCTTAAAATTTTTAAAAAAGTAAACAACATAATTTCCTAGGGTAGGCATGGAGTTTACATATCTAATTGCCATTTCAGCTCCCTAGGTCATGCGTGAAATCTGAGGGTAGCATAGGGAATCTTAAACTCTCACTGATTTAATGGTCCAAAGGCTGATACCTGTTGTTGTTGTTGTTTTCCAGGCTCATTCCATCCACTCTAGCCAATACATGAGTCATAATTTTCAAGAAATATTTACCAGGCATCACATATGCATTTAAAGTATTAGAACTATGTGGGAGTCTAGACAGCATTTAGACCAACTCTTTTACCAAATATGAGGAAACTGGGGGATTTTCCCAGTTAGAAACTATTTTCTGTCCTTGTATGCTGCCAAGCACAGGGATGTGGAAGATTCTATGCTAATAAAAAAAATGACATATGAGAGCATAGGTTGTGTCCAACTAGCTACTCTAAGATAAAGGTATAAATTCAGAGTTCATCCTTAGAAACAGGTTTAAGGCTGTATGTCTCTTGCAAGGTGTAGGCTACAGTTGACCTACGACACAATTTCTAGTATGGTTTATTAAAATGCCAATTCCAGAATCTTCACCCAAATTTAACATCAAAATTGTGATGAGGTCCTGGAATTTACACATTTAACCAGCTCTTTGTGTTCTTCATATGCATACAAATAATGAGAATTATGATTTTAGGGTATAGGGGGATGGAAGTCCCAAGACTAGAAGAAGAATTAATGAATTAATATGCCGGTCATAACAAACACATATGTACTTTTCTTCTATCTGTAACTTTAAGTACAACTTGACAATATTGATCACTTTGGAAACAAATTGATCCTTTTACAAAAGCACTTCTGAGCAGTAAGCCATGCACCCTAAATCTTTTAGAAGCAGATTCACACTGATTTTTAAACACAATTCTTTCTTATTAGGGGACTCTCAAAAGTATTAACTTCAGTTATCCCTGTTTTTAGACAGTGTTTATTTTGTTTGCTTGCTTCTCTCCATAGCTGCTTTTAAAATCATTTCTCAAATTGTTTCTCCTGTTCTTGTCGATTTTAACATCACTGACACTTGACTACACAGAAATCCTAGTTGGGCTAGGTGTCATGTAATGTATAAAATGTTCTTGGCAATGACCTCTGAAAAGCTCCTTCATTTTCTCCCACCCCCAGCCCTGCCCAGGGCTTTCACATTCATTTCCATGCTAATTGTCAAAGACTTGTTGGCCTGCAGTTATTATGATCACTTTGAATCCCCTTAAAACATGCCATTACTTACTGAATAAATTAACTTAAATTTGTGTCACAGATCCACTTAATTCCCCAGTGAATGCAAATTATCATGAAGTAATAGATGTATAGCTTTTTAAAAAACTTTTCCCACATACTGGAATATTTTGGCCTTAGGCTATAAGCATACATTAATTCACAATTCTACAAACAATTTCACTGCTTTTCAAGTAGCATTTTTCCAAAATGACTGGCACCTGAGAGTTTTGTCTTTTTTTTTAACTCTCCTGTGAGAAACAAGTGAATAAGCATTCCCAGAATGTGTGGGATCTTTTTTCTGGACCTTCCAACTCTTGGAATTCTCTGTGGAAAGTAGAAATAGGTGAGTTGGGATTACCTCTTAGAACTAGGAGGGGAAACCTTCGACTCCAGCTTCTTGAGGCAGACACTGTGCCATGATCTCATTCTCTCAAGAATGAGATGGCTTTGGCTTGCTGC